TAGTTCACCATTGTATTCCCAGTGCCTGGCTTAATAAATTTTTGTAGAACGAATAACTGAATGATACCAGCTCTTGCTATGTTGTCTAAGCACAACTTTTTGGTGAAATGTGTTAATGATGTGCCATAGGAGCTTAATTTTTTTAATTTTTTTTTGAGGTGGAGTATCACTCTGTCGACCAGGCTGGAGTGCAGTGGTGTGATCTTAGCTCACTGCAGCCTCTGCCTCCTGGGTTCAAGTGATTCTCCTGCCTCAACCTCCCGAGCAGCTGGGATTACAGGCATGTGCCACCACTCCTGGCTAATTTTTAAAAAAATATTTTTAGTAGAGACGAGGTCTCACCATATTGGCCAGGCTGGTCTCAAACTCCTGACCTCAGGTGATTCACCCACATTGGCCTCCCAAACTGCTGGGATTATAAAGGCATGAGCCCCCGTGCCTGGGCGGAGCTTAAATGTTTTGAATTTCTACTTCTTCCTCCCTGCCTATGCCTTTTCCTCTAACTCCCAGAAGTCGTCAAAAAATTCTTAAAGAGAGGGGCCTGCAAATTCTACTAGTTGTTTTCAAACCAGACTCTAGAGTTTCCCCTGCTATGGGGAAATCTGAAAATAGGAGCCAGCAGGTCTGCCTTGGAAACAAGCAGATAATGGGTCTATGAGTCACTGATGTCAGGGGACTGCCTACTCCCCGGACAGCAGGTGCCAAGGGGGCTCTTGGTAAAAGTCAGATGCTGCTGCCTGTGGTTGGCGGTGTTGGCTTCAACTCAGGCAGTAGGAACCATCTAGCACCATTCTAAAAAAGGGGAAGCTTGCTGCTCCCCTGTGAATGATATCTGAAATAGGAAATGGGATTGTCAGAATGTGATCTCAGCTACCACATTTGAATGTGAAACTGGACAGTTTGGTCATGTTTTCATTCCTATCAAAGTTGTAATTTATCAACAAGGAAACTGTGAAGGCACTAAAATTCTGGGAAGATGAATGCTAAGAAAAATACTGATCTAAAAATCCCTTAAAACCTAATAAACAGAATACTCATATCAGTTAGTAAGAATGAGGTAGTATTATGTATACTAACAAGCGTTGCTTTCCAAGACATATTATTAAGTAGAAAAAGCTTGCAAATAGATGCATGCATGCCTTTTAGATAAACAAAATAAAACTCACTACCGATAATAACAGCACACACAATGATGCTACATCACAAGTACACATACGTGTTTATGTGTCCAGAAAAAGGTTTGTACCATATTGATAATAATGATTACCCTGGGTAATGTGGGGGGTGGAGGTAGAAAAGAGATTAGCGTTGTGGACAGTCAAAAGAGGAAATCTGAACTGTAATATTCCAATTTTTTAGAACACTATTTCATTTAGAAGTTTTAGAACTTAAAATTAATTTTAAAAATGTTAGTAACTGTTAGAGTTGGCAAACATTCCACATAATCCTTAGCAAGGCAGGACATTAACCTCTTGATCAAGTTTGTTAAATAGATGTAGTTTTGTGGCTTTCTATCAATATGGCTTTCTACAAATACCCTGTCTGAAACAAACCACATAAAAGGTGTCTGTATATTGCAGAGGTACAAATGTCATATGCAAGCCAAGTAGTGCTGGAGCAGACATTTCCCCCAACGAGCCTATATTATTTGAATTTGTTTAATAATATTGAATTCTGATATTTCTTCAGCGTTTTATAAAGGTTTTAAAACTGTGTCATTTGAGTCTGACAACTGTGTTGAATAGGGTAAGACTTGTCACCTGTATTTCACAGATTAGAAAACTGAGGTTCAGAAAAATAAGTGACATGTTTAAAAATCAAAGTTAGTAATGGGGCACAGCACCTATATTTTCCAGGAGCTGAATGCTCCAATTTCTCCATTCTCAGCAAATCCAACTCCAATAGTTACTAGTAGTTGTCTGTCCCTAGATTTCATTTTCTTGCTAGCTGAGTTCACATTTTGGGACCCTCCTTTACTCACTTTCTACTTGAACCTAGGTGGATTATCTCAAAATCCAAAATCTAATTTCAGAATACAGTCATTTTTACCAGGGGATTTTCCAGCCAGTAGGAAGTGTGCTTTCTAAAACCACACTCAGCCTTCATCCTGGCACCAGGTGCAAGTGGTAAGCGACATGGTGTGGGCATGACAACACAGTCCTGTGCTGTCTGGTGACAGCTGGTTCTCCGTCACATCCTGTTAATGTTTCATGATGGGTCCATATCCTGTCTCCTCAGCTAAGCCAGAGGCTGCAGGGACCTTCTGTTATTTTTACTTATCCCTTAGTAGCCTCTCAATGAATATGTACTAGATAAGTCCCTTCACCCTCACACTGTAGCTGGAACAGGACGAACCTGTGTGTAGTAAGACACTTTTAAAAATAATTCACCGCCCATGAGGACTGACACTTTCATAAGCTCTTGCTCCTCCTCCTCACCCTCCAAACCGGTTCCTCCCACACTCCTCTATCTCAGCCAGTGGAGATTCAGCCTGCAAGTTTATAAATCCAAAACTTGGGACTCACTTTTTTCTTTTTTTCTTTTTTTTTTCACACCCTACTTACAATCCTTCAGCATATTCTGTTGGCTCTACCTTCAAATTCCATCCAGGGTCCAGCCATTCCTTATCACCTAGACTGTTACCACCCACCACCCTGGTCTAAACCACTGTCATCTGTCACCTGGACCATTAGAAGGGCCTCCATATACATCTCCCTTGACACCTAGATTTTTCTCAAGACAGCAGCCAGTGGATCCTATTACCATCTTAGTCAGACCATATCGTTCCCTCTACTCAAAAACCTCTGAAGATTTGCTCAGCTCATGTGGAGCAAAATCCAGAGTCCTTGCAATCAATGTCCTACAACGTCCCATGTTCCACTACCTCCTATAACTCTTCCCCTTCCATGGCCCCCTTCTCTCTAGGGCCCCTGGAGTTCATACTCTCTCGCAGGTACCCTATAGTTCATTCTCCCTCCTCTAGGGTTTTGCCCATAGCGTTCACTCTGCCTGAAATACTCTTCCTGGCAGTATCATGGCTAGCTTGCTCACCTCCTTCAAGTTTTTCTTACATGTCACAGTCTCCGCGAGGCCTTCCCTGACCACCTCATTTAAAAGTGCAGGCACCACTCCGCTCCACGCAACACACACACGCATGCGCGCACACACACGCACGCGCGCACACGCACGCACGCACATGCGCGCGCGCACACACACACACATACACACACCCCGCTGTCCCTGGCACTTCTTATTCTCTTCCTCGCCTTATTTTTCTCCATAGTACATATCGGCTCCTAACATACTGAATAATGCTTTGTCTGACTTCCCACTAGAACGTTTGCTCCATGAGAGTAAAGATTCGTATTTGTTTCATTCACTGCTGTATTCCCAGCTCTTAGAAAATGCCTGGCACATAACACATGAGATGCTCCATAAATATTTGTTGAATAAATCAGACTGGAAAAGACAACACTTTAGATTGAACCTTGTATTTGGCGAGGGTATAGGGAAGTAGATACTTTCATATGTTGCTGGTCAGAGTGCAAATTCGGATTATTTCTTTGGGGAGCAATTTGGCAAGATCCATCAAAATTAAAAAGGCCCCAGACCAATGACCCAGCAATTCAACTGCCAAAATTTATCCAATAGATATTTTTTGTTTTTAATTTTTTTTTTTTTTTTTTTTTTGAGACGGAGTCTTGCTCTGTCACCCAGGCTGGAGTGCAGTGGTGTGATCTCGGCTCACTGCAACCTCCGCCTCCCGGGTTCAAGCAATTCTCCTGCCTCAGCCTCCTGAGTAGCTGGGACTACAGGAGCGTGCCACCACGCCCGGTTAATTTTTGTAGCTTTAGTAAAGATGGGGTTTCACCATGTTGGCCAGGATGGTCTCGATCTCCTGACCTCTTGATCCGCCCCCCTCGGCCTCCCAAAGTGCTGGGATTACAGGGGTGAGCCACCGCGCCCGGCCTATCCAATAGATATTCTTGCAGATGTGTTCAAATACGTTGGTTCAAGAATGTTCACTGCAGCATTATCTTAATAACAAAAGGCTGGAATCCACCCATATGTCTATCGATAGGGGTCTGAGTAAGTAACATGTGGGCATCCTCAAAACTGCTTAGCATGAAACGGTTAAAATGAGAGGAGGATATCCACGCGCTGACATGGGACAGCCTCCATGATACAATGAGTCAAACAAGCCAGGTGCAGAAATGTGTGGAGTTTGCCGCTGTCTGGGTCAAAGGGAGGAGGACAGGTACATATATTAACAAGTCTGTACAAGCACAAATAAATACAACTGCATATAAATAAATAACTCTGGAAACTCACAAGTGGTTGCTTCACAAATAGGGGCTACTTAAGGACTAGGAGGTTTGAAAACAATTTTTCAAATCATTGTAAATATATTACTTAAAAAAAAAAACGACAACAACAAAAAAAACCCCTACGTCTAGATGCATCAATCCATGCTCTTTTGGTAACTTTTACTCTGTGTGGAGCTGACATCAAAAACATGCCCAAAACTCTGCTTTGAAGGCGTGTGGGGGTGGATAAGGAACTTTAATTTCCTCGCGCAGTGAAGCCAATAAAAGGTATGAATAGATTCAGCCCAACCTCGTGCTCTGTGGCTCTAGGGCTTTCCCCTCTCCGCCCTCCCCCAGCCTGGCTGCCAGTCTTCGGTGCCCTGGGATTTTGAGGACTGGCTGGAGTCCCCGCTTCCCCCTTAGAGGGCGGCAGCGGGGCGTCTCGGGGACGCATGCGCCCCAAATTGCGCTCGAGGAATTAAAAGAGAGGGAAAAAAGCCCCAAGAAAACTCACGCCCCAAACAAAACGCAAGTAGAGGAGGGCGCGCGGCCTGCAGCCCTCGCCCGCGTCCCCGGCCGCGGCGTGATGCGCGCGGACCAGCCCGCGACGCTCGGGCTGCCGCTGTCCCCGCACCTGGACGCCGGCCCCGTGGCCGCGCCCCAGCCTCGATCGCTCGCTGCGGCGACAGGCCCCCAGGCTCTCGGCGCCGGTGGGGCCCTTCGCTCTCCATGGGGCTGAGGGACTGGCTGAGGACCGTGTGCTGCTGCTGCCGGTGCAAGTGCCTGGAGGAGCGCGCCCTGCCTGAGAAGGAGCCCCTGGTCAGGTGGGTGCACCGCCCGGGCCGGGATCTGGGCTTACCTGGGCCCAGGCCGGGCGCCGGGAGTGTGGACACCTGTGTGCTTGTGTGAGTTGGGGAGGTGGGCTTGCTGGAAGGGCACGCGGAGGCGCCATCTCAGCCCCTTGGTTCCTTATAGGATGTTTTGCGTTTAATTCTTGGGTAAGATTTTTGCCGAAAAGCACAAATCTTCGGAGACACCTGAGACCCAGCTGGATGTCTGTACAAAGTGCCAAGAATTCGGGTGTCCTGCCTGGGCAGGGAAGTAAGGGAGAGAAGTTGATCAGAAGTTTCCATAGGCGTCTGATAAAATACAGCTGTGACTGGGTATTTGATCGGTATATTACAGTGAAACGGGCGGCTGTGGATTTCTGTGTCATTCAGCAAAAAAAGTTGTCTATTTCTCATTCAATTTTATTAACCCAGAGAAGACGATTCCAGTGACTGAGTATGAGGAAATATTTTTCACATGAAAAAAACGCATGTTTCATCAAGGGGCAGCCTATTCACTAGGATGTTGATTCATTACAGGTTAGGCTATGAAGTGTGAGGAAATGTAATACTCATTAGCAATAAGCTAAGAGGCTTTGTGAAGAGACCATACCGGCCCAGTTTTGTTCAGGGCTGTGATTTTAAGCAATGATTTTCTATCTCGAGTTTGCTGAAATCGAGGCTGGACTAGGTCATGCCTCAGGGGTAGACATGACAGAAACAGAGTATTTAAAATGGAATTAGGAAACAGTATTTCAGGTGGAACCCCAGGGTTGAGTAAGCCTATACCGAAGCCAGGGTTTCTTTCTTTTGAAGTATGCAAGTCACGTAATACAGCTTGCACAACTTTTTCTAAGGGATAATTTACCTTTCTTACTCTATCAAGTCCAAACACCCCCTTGACTTTGGAGATCTTACATAACCCCTTCCTGCCTGTCCACTGTGATTTTCCAGTACATTAAACAGTGTACACTCCTTGCGGCCGTGGGAATAATCCACTCATTCGCTCCAACCCTCCCTCAAGTGGTGACCTTTATCCTTGCTCCTCCTTACCAAAAGCTGTTTTCAAGGCCTTCTCAAGCAATCTTCTTTGATTACTTTGCCCTTATCCATCTTCCTCTTGTAGGATGTAGGACAAGAAATTACTCCTTGCTGTTTGGTGAGCACACATGTATATAAACATGTAACTCGTGTATATTATATATATAAAGTCATACACACAATACACGGCGTTTTTGATTGCTCTGTCGATGGCACTCCCACTTAGATTTTTAGATTATTGTGGGTAGGGAGAAATGGAATAATCTATCTCTAATCTAATAGGTAGTGGGCAACTACAATCTAGAACTTTATGCTTAGGTTATATGCTGAACTTGTCAGGGCTCTTAGTAACATGAAATACAGGTTTGAGCTTAGTTTCATCCTCAGAGGCCTGAGTATTTCCAGTTTTCTGTCCAGGATTGCTGTTTCAGTTAATAGTTCTGGTGGTTTTAAGATCTAGACCCTCTCCTGTCTTGGCTTCTGTCTAGTGAGTACAAGTCAGTGAATTTTGCATGTGATTTTAAGAAGCCCCAGGGTCAATTGGAGCGGAATAGCATAGTGCTTGTGAATCAGGTTGCCTGGAAGGAGTCTGCTCACCCAACTGGGTGACCTGGCAGAAGTTATTAAAATTATTTGTGCCTCAATTTCCTCATCTGTAAAATGGGGATGATAATGGTACATACTTCAAAGGGTTGCTGTGAGAGACCAAAGGAGATAATACATATAAAGTGCTTAGTAGAGAGTGTGACACATGGTTAACACTCAATAAATTGTAGTAATTAATTATCATTGTTATTCTGAGCATGTGGGTAGGAGTGGACTGGTCTCATGTGGTTTAGTGTCATGCTGGCGTCATTTCCATATAAGAATATTTGGGAAGAACAGCTTATTAATGGATACGTGGAACAGTGGCATGTGTGTATATGGGTACCTGTAGGTTCTTTCCTACACAAGGCATCTGAAGATTGGATCTGAAAACTTTTTTTAGTTGATTTAAAAATTTTTTAAAGTATGCAATTCAGTAGTTTTTAGTATATTCACAAAGTTGAGCAACCATAACCACAATCTTTTTTTTTTTTTGAGACGGAGTCTCGCTCTGTCGCCCAGGCTGGAGTACAGTGGCGCGACCTCGGCTCACTGCAAGCTCCGCCTCCCAGGTTGACGCCATTCTCCTGCCTCAGCCTCCCGAGTAGCTGGGACTACAGGTGCCCGCCACCATGCCTGGCTACTTTTTATTTGTATTTTTGGTAGAGATGAGGTTTCACTATGCTGGCCAGGATGGTCTTGAACTCGTGACCTCGTGATGCACCCGCCTTGGCATCCCATAGTCATAGGATTACAGGCATGAGCACTATCTAATTCCAGCAGGTTTCATCACCCCCAAAAAGAAACACCATACCCTTTTGCAGTCACTCTTCCCTCTCTTCCTGCCGCCACTGAGGCAACCACTAGTCTACTTTTTGACTCTATGGATTTGTCTGTTCTGGACATTTTGTATAAATGGAATTATGCAATATGTGGCCTTAGGTATCTGGCTTATTTCACTTCACAGAATGGTGTCAAGGTTCATTGTGCTTTAGCATGTATTAGCACTTCATTCCTTTTTATGGCTGAAGATTTCATTGTATGGCTCTATCACAGTTTGTTTATCCATTCATTAGTGGATAGACATTTTGATTGTTTCTACTTTTGGGCTATTATGAGTGCTGCTGTGAACATTCATATACATACAGATTTCTGTGTAGATGTGTGTTTTCAGCTCCCTTGGGCAAATACAGTATATCTAACTTTTTGAGAAGCTGGCGTGCTATATACAAAAATGACTGGTTTGAAATCTTGATGTGGTGAAATCCTGTGGGCAGATGGTCCGAATTATTATTTTATTAAGAACATCATTCTTCATGTCGATTTTTTTCCATCTATAAAAAAAGTTTTGTTCAGACATCTTTTGTTCCCAAACCAAATCCTTTACTGATTGAAAGAATGGTTTCCATGTTTTCGCTCCCTAAGGCAATAGTGCATGGAAGAGGTGAGGTCAGGGAAGACATTTGTCACCTGTGTGCATGATCACCTCCAGTCCTTTTCCAAAATGCACCAGGGACTCTTGTTCATTCAGGAAAAACCACGGTTGGTCCCAGCTCATTTGCCAGACTGACAATACCACTGATGACATTGGTCCTTTTGCTTTTTCTGGAACCATGTCCCTGCGGGGGGAATGCCTGTGCTTTCTCTGATTTTCATCTGTATTTCTTTCTGGCCCACTAGTTTTCTTCCTTCCTTCCTTCCTTTCTTCCTTCCTTCCCTTCCTTCCTTCCTTCCTTCCTTCCTTCCTTCTTTCTTTCTTTTCTTTCTTTCCTTCCTTCCTTCTTTTCCTTCCTTCCTTTCTTCCTTCCTTCCTTCCTTCCTTCCTTCTTTCTTTCTTTCTTTCTTTCTTTCTTTCTTTCTTTTTCTTTCTTTCTTTCTTTCCTTCCTTCCTTCCTTCCTTCCTTCCTTCCTTCCTTCCTCTCCTTCTTTCTTTCTTTCTTTCTTTCTTTTCTTTTCTTTTCTTTTCTTTTCTTTTCTTTTCTTTTCTTTTCTTTCTATTCTTTCTTTCCCCTTTCTCTAGAAATCTGCTGAGGCTTCACTCAACTAAAAATTTGTCCTGCTGTAGTCCTGCCCTTCAATTCCTGTTCTCTGCTGTTCACTGTATAATGCACAAACGTCTTTAAAGAATAGTAAACTGTACCCCCACCTGCTTCTTCACCTTTGTATTTTCCCCCCACTTAGAATCACCTGGTAAATTTGTTTAAAATGAAACTTTTGGGACCCATCCCTAAAGATTGTGACTCACTGGGTCTGGGATGGAGCCTGGAATTCTGCATTTCGGTAAATATACCAGGTAGTTTTGCTGAAGGTGGTCTAGGAACACCCTTTGAGAAGCACAGCTCTAAATGCTGATGCTCAAGATGGGACTGAAGGATTGCATCCATTTGGGTAGCATCCATTTATTAAGTGAGTAGTTATTGGGCTTCTACTGTTTGCCAGGCACTGAAATCTGGTTTCCGCCTCTGGTATAATTACATGAAAAGTGCTCTCTTCAAAGAGAAAGAAATTGGATGTTCTTTTCTCAGTGTACATGGAATACCTCTGTGCAGACTATTCATCCTTTCTTTTACATTTTCTGCTGCCCTGGCTTCTCTGATTTTGCTTTCTCTAGTCTTTTTGTCTGTAAACCTGATCAACCTCATCATGCACGTTTTCTTCCTGGTGCCATTGCCAATGCCATAATTGTTAGCAGAGACACCTTTTTGTTTTCTTTACTTTTTAAAACTCTGCTCAGATTTTAAAGACTACCTTTTCAGTTGCCACCTTTTTGATGAAGTCTTAGAAATTCTCCCCAAGAAGTTATGGTATCTCGTTTCTTTCTTTTTACCCCTCAGGTCACTTACTGCATTTTGCCTAGTATTACGTTATAAGGTGGGTGGTATAGTTCCAGTGAAATTGGAGAGGCTGAATCTTACCTTAGTATCCTCTGTGGTGCCCAGCACAGTGGTCTACATGGAATAAGAACTGAGTGAATCCTTTTTTTTTCTCTCTCTCGAGACGAAGTCTTACTATGTTGCCCAGGCTGAGTGCAATAGCATGATCTCAGCTCATTGCAACCTCTGCCTCCTGGATTCAAGTAATTCTCCTGCCTCAGCCTCCTGAGTACCTAGGATTACAGGTGCACCCCACCATGCCCAGCTATTTTTTGTATTTGTAGTAGACACGGGGTTTCACCATGTTGGCCAGGCTGGTCTCAAACTCCTGACCTCGTGATCCTCCCGCTTCGGCCTCCCAAAGTGCTGGGATTGCAGGCCTGAGCCACCGCATCTGGCCCATAGTTTTTGATTAGTAATAATTACAATGAATGTTTGTTTATTAATTGCTTTCTATGTGTAAAAATTTTAAATGGTATTTAAAGCAAAATATTGTGA